GCCTAGCTCCTTATCGAACCCGGTGGAAGTCTAGTAGCTTCTTCAAACTATCGCCAGTCATGAAAAGATCCGGTCAAATGACACGAGTTTAGATCTATGAACAAGGCACGAAATGGAAAAGAATCGGCGACAGGCCACATCAGGCCTACACTTCAGAGCCGACATCACTATGTTATGTTATGTTAATATGATTAAATAATTCATTATATTTCTTCATAATCTGTTGATGAAAGCAAAAACAATTCCATCAGCAAATTGTTGTCGCAATTTTGCGTATTTTCGTGACATTCGATACGCACAATAAAATCTCAAATTATTTCAAATTGAACAAATTTTCAAGTTGACTGATAACATTATAATCCAATGAATGAAATGATAATCCAGTTTTCTACATATACATTTTTTCCTTTTCGCTCCGAAAATTGTAGTAAATCTTTTTTTTTTATCCTTTCTACCAAGTCCTTGAAGAATCTAATCGATTTTTTTTTCGTTTTCCTAATTCGACCGCCTTTCGATTATTATAAATTTTTTGCCTCTTTGAAGTTCAATCTAGCCTGGTGCCGATTCCACACATCGCAAAATTCTTACAGCTTGCAGAGGTTTGGAACCCGCAACTCACTACTTCAATCTTGCTATTCTCAATCACCCAGCCACCTTGCCGGTTTTGACCTGAAGTGTCACAGTGAAAATGTGATCGACCCCGCAACTCACTGTCCCAATCCTGATACTCGCTGTAACCACTGGGCCGCCCTGCCCCACATGACGCTGAGACCACCCATGAATAAGCTTAAATAGACGCTTCATATTTTTAGCGCATTTTCTCATTTATGGAAAATGCGCCATGCCCGTCTGTCTGTCCGTCCGTCCGTGACCTCAAGTTTTCGTCGACGAGAAAATGCGCTCTCTGTCACTCACTTCAGTGAGTACTGAGTTATATTTCTTTAATTATAAGGTATAAGCTACTAGTTGCTTTGCCGTGAAAATTTAATTCAATAAACTCTTGTCTCTCACCATGCGGACCGACTTTACATGAGCAACAATCTAATAGTATGACATTGTTTACATATACCCAAAAGTCGCTAGCAATCAGTGAAAAATGCAATACAAAGGATAAATACAACACAAATGTTGCTTTCCTGGTCATCTTTCTAATATCACTGGTCATCTTTCCAAGGCCGGATGTAATCGACCAGGATGTGTGGTAACTAAGTATTCCACGCAAATTATGTTTTTTTTATTGCATAAAATCTTGCTGGTATAGTGAGGCATGAAGACTACTCATCTGTATCAAATAATCAAGATTAGTCGTAAAAACTAATTTCACTATATTACGCCGTGACCACAGCAGCGTTGCCAGATGGTATAATTCTACACCAGATTTCACAAATCTGGTATTTTCAGAAGGTGTCTGGTATGAAAATTTTAGACCTGGTATATTGGTATATTTACCTAAATCTGGGATTTTCTGGCTTACTGCAAATTTACTGCATCAAGTTCCACCTCTGAAGTTTGAACTTCCTCCATCGTAGGCGTGGATTATATAGATTGCCTTCAGAGCGGCGCGACTATAAAGCTTTCTCGCCATTTTTGGACCCGCAAGTTTACCGCTTAATGAAATAACCCCAATCTAATTATTAACATTTAACAAAAGTGCTTAGTGCGATATAAGCATGAGAGTAATGATCCTTGATTGATTACTGATCAGTGGTGATATGGCCTAGGACGAGTGAGGTTGCCAAACCGATCTCTGCGACGCAAGCTCCACCATTTCTGTTTGGTGGTTTTTAATTCTAGTTTGCCACTTGAATGCTGGGGTGCCATTCAATATTTCACTGATTTTGAAAATCATCCATTCCTAGAACTGGCTGCCTATTGCATCACTTGTCTACTTTGACCTGTCTCCAATGCATTCGTGGAGCAAATGTTTTTATAAGTCACCCATGTGAAAAACAAGCAACGAAATAAAATTTCAACTAAGGTACTGGAGTCCGTTATTCGGACCAAAAGCTATCTGCTAAGCCGCAACAAGTGATCAAACCCGAATGTTAGATTAATGCAATATGCAAGCACGTACGAAAATAAGCAAAAGGAAGATGACATGTTTCCGTGGCTTGCTCATGTTGAGCGAAGGGGAAGAAGTGCTACACTGTGATAAAAAAAAGGAAAAAGTGTCAATGTAATCAAACACAGGAAAAGAAAAGCGCCAAAATGTTTCAAACAGAGGGAAAAAATATAACGTGTTCAATTTGGCTAATTATCTATCATCAAGCCAGATAAATGCACAGTACATAAGATAGTTTTTTTTTCTAACCAACGTTTCTGACGAATAATTTTATTGAATTTGGAGGTAATAGTCTGTTTTTGAACAATAGAATTTCGGGTATTTTGAGCTAGGCAATCTGGTATTCTCGCCGAGAAATAAACCTGGCAACACTGGACACAGCCAGTCTTTCCAGCTGTTGTCGCTAGTTAGCGTGTTACTCACTGCCTAGTGCCTTCTGCCTGCGAAGCCGCGGTGTTTTAGTTAGTATTTGACATGGCTCCTCCGTGTACCTTGGAGCTTGTGAGCAAGACAGAATGTCCTCCTTATGCTCTTACCTGCGTCGGAGACAGATATGTCATTGTTGGTGGAGGCGGTGGATTTGCAAAAACTGGTATCAAGAATAAGTTCGTAAGTTTTGAAATTGTATTCTGAAGTAAAATTTCGTGCACCCTCTGTGACCCTCATCTGTCATCATTATCATGCTTATGTCTCAACTTACTATACTATACCTAGACCCTAGTGGCTGCTTTCTGCAGTTAATGACGCATAAGTTGTCTGTTGCCGCTCCGGGCTCAACATCAGATGCACATGCACTCAACTTGTTGCTTGCTAATAAAAAAGATTTTTGATTTGTAGATTTGATTACCAATTAACAAATAACAACTAAGGTTTTTTTTTCAAGCTTGAAAGTTATGGCTTAGTATTGTTTACAAATCAGAATTATCAGATTATTTTAATTGAAGGCTGGCAACTTTTCTAGTGCTGTGGTTAGTGACTGGTTACTTGTAGTACCTAATGTTAGTGGCATTGGAGATGGATAGTATTATCATTATGTGCTTTGAATTTGACAACAACTTTTTGTATCATAAAGAAAATATATTATTTAAAAGGCCATTTCAAAAACTGCTTAGTCTAAATTTCTCAGGTCATTTGAATTTCTAGGGTAAATGCACCATATTCCAACATTGTGGGTAATTCCGAATTTCCGACACTTCTCAACTTTTTCCTTCTTTATTAAGCTTTGTCTTAGTTCCATGCATGCGTAGATGGTTGAAATAGTGACGTCGTACTATTGCGTGCCACGTGCCAGCATATTGCCAATCCATAGGTTATTCAAAAGAACCTGTTCTTATGTCATTTTGAACCGATCAACACTTCTGAAGAAGGTGAGCTGACAGCTACACTGGCCGTGGGGTGTGGGTGGACCTAATTTGAATTTGAATGCATGCAGCAATTCAAAATCCTATAGACTGTGATAGACATAGTATACAAGTCATAGAGCCTAAATTTTTAATATAGAATGGTTATTTGTGAATAATATTTTCGATTGTGATATTATAACATATTTCTGATTGTGAAATAATCTTGATTGTGATATTGACACTTGACAGATATTCAACATTTGAATATCGAAGTTCTAACATCATGAATAACAAGGTAAGAGTGAAAGGACTTAGCAAAGCTAGAATCATGGCTGAGCCTCTGAGGCAGTGAGGCTTAACCGATGTCATTGTAATTTTTTACGTCATTGATATCATTGTGGAACCAATGTAAGTAACTAAGGAATTTCCCAGTTCAAATATTGATTGATTTATTACTATCAATTTCGAAACTCCACATATTTCTAAAGGGAGTTGTGATGAGACCATGGGGATGGGGCCAGGGGTCGAACTGTTGAGTTTAGACCATTACAACTTGCAAGAGGGGCCCAAGGGCCAAGGGCATGGGGCCTTGCGAAGGGTTAAGACCGACGCACGGCGGTGGACCGATAAGTACTCACAATAATTCCCTGCCACCATGCGTGCCAGATTCCTGCAAAACACTAGGTCTGATGGGAAAATGTTAAGATCCTCAGAGCAAAAGTCCAAGTCCACCATGGTCAGGAAGGTGCAGCGTGTACGCCGGAGGTTTGTTTTCGGATGTACGCCAGGGAAGAAAGTTTGCAATATGCTTGCTAAAAACGGAAGTGTAACCCTCGCCAATCTGCATGATCGACACAGGCACACGTACTTTGCGATTGATGCCTGGCAATTGTCACAAACACACATGCTTTACGATCTATATAGCCGATGCCCAATGATAAACACTGATGCGCGCTCTTTGCGATCAAAGTGGCCGATGCCTAATGATCGACACAAGCGTACACAATTTACAATCGTTTTAGCCTATGCCCAATGATCAATACTGATGCGCGCTCTTTGCGATCAAAGTGGAAGATGCCTAATGATCGACACAAGCGCGCGCGATTTACGATCAGTTTAGCCGATGCCCAATGATCAACACAGAAGCGCGCTCTCTGCAATCAAAGTGGCCGATGCCTAATGATCGACACAAGCGCACGCGATTTACGATCGTTTTGGCCGATGCCCAATGATCAATAATGATGCGCGCTCTTTGCGATCAAAGTGGAAGATGCCTAATGATCGACACAAGTGCATGCAATTTACGGTCGGTTTAGCTGATGCCCAATGATCAACACTGATGAGCGCTCTCTGCGATCAAAGTGGCCAATGCCTAATGATCGACACAAGCGAATAACACAAAATATGGTAACACTAACAATATGGTATTAACAACACAACACATTGCAACACAAAATATCACTGCACAACAGCACTGCACTCATCACAACATATCACTATACAACACATTATAAGTTTATAACACACCCTAACATGACATTACATTATAACATAACATATTATAACAAACAATATCATAGCACAACATATTATAACACAACATAATGTAACATTACATAACTCAATGCACTGTAACACAACATAACATAAATAACATAGCATGACACATTGTAATGACATGACACAATACATTATAACATAACTAATCATGATATAACACTATACATCGTAACATAACATAGAACAACAGAACAAATTATACCGCAGCATATCCTAATAAAACCCATTATAAGACATCATAACTCAACCCAGCACTAGAGATGCAAAAAAAAACCTTTTTTTTCCAGTGTTTTTTTAGTAAGAAAAACGTTTGTTTTTTTTTTCTTTCATGTATTTATTTGGGATCAATATATCTATACCCTTAATATACATTGAAATGATGTGTTTTTAAATCTTATTTAACATATCTCATGTGTGATTTATAATTTATCAAGCCTAATACTTCTAGTTCAAAGCTTAAAAGGGTAAATAAACAAATTTTTCATTTCCTTGTTGTACTCAAAAATCAAAGTATGCAAAAAATACAAAAAATAAATATTTTCAAAGCATTCCATTTTCAGTCACTCACCATGAGCACTAGATCGTAATAGAACACACTAGATTGCATAAGAAGGCACTAGATCATAATAGAACGCACTAGATCGCATTAAAAGGCCCTAAATCGCCATAAAACGCATTAGTATGCACTAAAATGCTCAAAACCAGATGAGGACGTATAATGGGACAAGCCAGATCACCCAGATGCGGACGTACGCCAAGACAAGCCAGATGCGGACATACGGTACGTCGGGACAAGCCAGATGCGGACGTACGCCGGGCGTGTGCGCCAATAACGTTATTTTAGCTCTTTGTACGCCGCGTTGTACGCCAGTAGAAGGGCTTGGAGCCTTGTTTACGCCGGATTAATCCGTGGAAAACTGCACCATCCTGGGTATGGCAAGTCCATGGTGCAAAGGGTGGAAGCAGCGTCGCCAATATATGGGTTTTTAAGCCCAAAGTGTCGTCAACCATTTTCAAGATGCGTCACCAGGTAATTTTTAATAGAAAGCCATTTTGCTGAATGCTGAGTAATGAAAAACTATTTACAAGCCACAAACTTATTTACAAGGTTGCATGCACGTGTTACCACCAAATAACTAATTTTACCCTAAAAACAGTCCGATTGTACAGCAAGTGTCAACTGAACATGTGATAATGCAGTCTGACTGCTCTAATGTGACCGCAACTAGGCCATCGTAAACTTGTTGTTTACATTTTTTTGGCGGGAAGTTGGGAACTCATTGCAACTGATTTCCAGACAAGCCTCCCTGTATCCTGATCCATCTAACGTACCGGAAACCATACTGTTTTCTAAATATTTGGCTGCAGACTGACAAATATATTGAATGCACGAATTTCAATCTAAATGTGTCAGCAAGATGTTCTGAAGGCATAAATTTTGCTACTGAAGCGTCACCAAAGATCTTGCAATATTCATCCACTCTCTGCACAGTGGGTCCAAGCCAACTAGTGAGAACATCAAAACACGTGTCAAAGTTGATAGTTGACCTTGCTCTACCAAATAGTGAACTGTTTGTGTAGAAAGAATATTATGGTTTGAGACTTTTAAATAAGTGTTTGAATATATTAGTCAAGTATTTGCTGATTTTAAGTGGTAAATAAATTAATAGATGATTAAGTTAAGAGATGGTTTTAGACACATAAAAAACTAATTCCAACACAGCTTGGAATTGGGAAATTAAAATTTTCTTAATTAAAAGCTTAATAGCTCTCAATTAAAAGCTTAATTAAAAAAATTAACATTTTTTAATTAAATTCGTTCCGAGCTGTGTCGTATTCCAATACAGCTGAGCTCGCACAGGGCGTTGGAATTACAAATTAGTAAGAGTTTGAAGCGCTGTCAGAATTAGTCTCACAATATGCCGAATTTAGTCGCACACAGCGTCAGAATTCAGGGATTTTGTAAATTTTAATTCTTAAGACTTTTAAATAAATATGGCAGCAGTTTGTGACATTTCATTGTTGCTGGCGCGTAGTGTGGTGTTTTGAGAGTGACGTAAAGCAATCAGAACTCAAGTTGCGCATACGGTGATCTTTTTATAGCCATTCATTTCTTGGTACGTCCTTAATGTGTCAGAATATGGTGTGTTTACCCTGAATTGAATTTGGACAAGTTTTCAAAAAAAGAATGTGGTTTCTTGCAACTTGGCACTTGCAAGATGACAAATATCCATCTATTTACTTAGAAAAGTTTTGGCAACAAAGTTACATGTTTTGACAACTTTGTTCATTTTTTGTTTCAATTGAGTAATATTTATAAAAGGAAATTATAGAAAATTAATTCAACCAGAAAGTTAGCTTAAATTTTATTCATTGGCAATATTGATTGTAAATCAACTGTTATGCTAATTTTCAGTACTATTACTTCAGGATATATCAGTAATACTGCAATATCCTTGGCTCTGAAGTTGCATTATTCCCCAGCTCCTCCCTACCGGGGAAGTCCTCCTCAGGCTGCAGCCTTCCTCCCATCATTACTTGCATATAAAGTATTTTCGGTATCATGTACAAAAATTTCAGGGACAGCTCATTTTCTGCATTGAATTACATGAAGATTCCTATGTTTGATTGTTTTCCTATGTTTTTTCATTCAATGTGTTGCCAATGAACCTTCCTTGCTCTACACCAATCTGCCAATGTAAAGTTTTAAAAATGTATTCATACTCCAACAGCAAAATTTTGAGTTTAAATGTGGTTAGTAAATTATTGGCATCCAAAATTCTTCTTGCAATCACTGCCAACCAGTTCATAGACTTCTGATTCCTATACGAGACACAAGATGAACATTTGATACTAGAACTAAATGTGCACACAAAAACATTGGATATTAAAAACTTCAAACAGTTCTGACAAATTCAACAAAAATTTGCAGTATAAATTCATTGTCATACTAATGATCCTTCTTAAAAATTTGCCTTTGCTGTTCTAAGCAAAAGATAATATCTATGTATTTTTGCAGGTAGTTTATCAACTTTATCACATGGGAAAACAAACGACAGCTCGGTGTGTTCTATCCCATGACGTTGGTGATTACTGCATCAGCAACATGACAGCATGGGTAGATGAAGAACGAACAGCTAAAGTCACAGATAATAGAACAAATGGTAAAAAAATTGTGGCATGTACAGTAATTTTTTTAATCATGTTTGGATGATCTAATCTTTGCATTGAACTATGAGGCTCAATTAATTCATTGATGCATGTTATGAGGCATGGTCTACCATCTTCTATCCTCAAGTCAATCTGTATTGTTATCAAGTGATGATCTTCACACATCTGAGTATCTCAGTTGGAAATTAGATATACTGATATCAATTTTACATTGCTTAAAATTCTTCTTATTTTTAAATTAATTTGTTGGCTGTCTCCAAATCTTGATTATTTATTGTTTTTTGTTGGAACTTGTATGAAAACATTTCATGCTTGAAGCTATATGACAATTTTAATTTTAACAGGTTTATTATATAAGTACTAGTTCTGTCATTAAATTATATATTTAATATTTCCTTAAGTGTTCAAAGTTTTAATTTTTCTATGGAAATTTAATTTTCTTTTGTGCTTGGCAGAAAAAAATCATGGCTACACAACACCTTGTCCTACAATAAACTTGGCTTATGGCTGCGAGGAGTCCTGTGTGATTGTGCAGCTCACTCCAAAACTAGTCACAGAAAATAATGCCAAAGATCAGATTACTTCAGCTCAGCAGGGTTTGTAATTACTTCTTGTGAACATGATAGCAAATTATTTAATTTTTAAATCAAAGATAATGGTCTAAAATAGTAGGGTGTGAAATAAGGGTTTAAAATTTAGTGCAGTTTGCCGTGTTACTAAATTGATTTATTCTGTGTTTCCCAATCACTGCATATTACAATTCCCACTACATGATCGAGTAAATAAATTGTCAATGCTGGAAAATTGTGAAAAGCTGCAAAAATTTTTCAGCTTTGATACCTGATCATATATATGTGATTAAGAAAACTTTATAGGATAGATCTTCTGATCGCACTTTTCAAAAAACCAAGAATGGTTGTCAGCTGTATGAAACGTGTAGAAAATATATATATCTGCAGTCCAAATGTGCTGCACTTCTTTAAGCTCACTAACTGTACCATGCCTGCATGCATTTTGAATGCTAATTTATTTGGTCATAAGATGTCTTTAATTGTTATTTCAGGAGCTGATGCAGGAGTACGGAACAGGAAGCCCCAAGCAGACAAGAGCACCAGCAGGAGCAGCTCAGAGAATAACAAGGCCAGCAAGAATGGCATAGTGCGGCTACCAACTTACTACACATTCACCGTCATGGAGCTCTGTAGATTTACCTCTGTTTTTAGGTCAGTTGCTCTGTCTTAATTTTGTGTTATTGCATGCTTTGTGTTTTCTGAGTTGAATAGCCACATTGCACAGTTTGATTTGCAATATTAAAATTCATTCGTAGAGGTTTCTTAAATGTGTTAAATAATATTTTTGTCTGTTGTGGCAGAATTGTATTTTGCTCATCATTACTGTACTTTCAAAATTGTCTGTAATTGCGTGATATTGGTAAAAAGTTTCAATTACCAGGAGTTAATTATTATTACTAAATGATTAATAATCGGAGTATGGAGGTGCTTTAACAAGATAACCCATTATACCGTATACCGTAACGTCATTCTATACTAGCCTTCAATTCATACTCTTGTCAAATGACAGTTAATGTCTGGAATCATAACATTAAAGATGAAGTTGAAGGAAATGTTCTACCATAAGCGTTAATTGCTACAAATTATTCTAGCACGGATGGAGTTGAATTTAATGGTGAGAGTTAATTGCTCAGAACTACAACAGTACATATAAAGTTCAAGGAAATAGTTCACCGTGAGAGTTGCTTGTGCAGTCGCCCACCGTCGAGCACATCACCTGGGCTGGTCGCCGCGCCGGGCGTGCTGCTCAAGGAAGACGTGTACCAGAAGACGTGCCGCGTGACGCGCGACTGCAGTAAGCTCGTCACGGGCGGCACGGACGGACGTGTGCGCGTCTGGTCCTGCTTGCAGCGGCCGCCTAAACTCCTGCTCGACATTGACGCTCACCTCAAGGAAGTCGATCAACTGGACGTATCTCCTGACGGGTCCCACGTGAGTCTCCTACTGCTATCAATTGGGTTGATCGGAGTTTACCCTCTTCCCCATCATCTCTTGTCAGTAGATCTATGTAAAATATGTTTATGAACAAGTTTTATTAATTGAATTGGAATGACGAGATTCTACAATTGAAGGAATTATTGATCCCGAGCAATACCAGGCTCCCCTGCTGGTAAATTATATATATTATTTTTTGAATGAGCTTGTTTGCAGGTCCTCTCGTTCAATGCTGAACAGTTTGTTTGTTTGCAGAATTTTCCACTCGTTCAAAATCCAAATTAACCAAAGAAGGTTTAGCAAACGTTACAATAACGCATACTTTGTATTTGCTATGCTTGATTTTCTCTGATGGTAGAACCCAAGTAACTATAATGAATTACGCATTTATACCGGCTTCAATTGCCTAGCTTTACCAGCACATTTACCAGCGCAATTCATCCCGCTTCAATTTACTTGTTTTACCAGTAGTAATATTGCTTTCAATAAACTATTGGAGCCAATAATTATGACTAAAGTGAGCTCCATGTGCAGGTGGTGAGCGTGTGCAAGGGACAGCGCGAGTGCTGCGTCTGGAGCTGCTCTTCAGGCAAGAAGGTCGCCGCGCTCGGCCTCGACACTGCAGGACTCAAGTATAAGTTTGCATGGGCCAGGTGAGGGTACCGACCTTAGGTGAGGTAGTGCCTTAGTAACGAACTTAGCTTGTTAGATGCAACTCTTTTATGACCATCACTGGAGACATAAACTTATCAACTACGCTTCTGCAGGGGATGTTGCTCGACGTCCTGCTCATTTCCAAAAAAATTGTACATTTCTTATGGACCTGTCTTCCAAGCTCACAATGCCTTGTAAAATTAGGCTAAAATTTTATATCTGAATTTATTGGAATCGTGTTGATCTTAAATAATTGTTACGTTAAATGAATTATCCTGACAGTCATGGACATGCATAGGCCCGAACATTGTAAAAAACTTCTATAGCCAAGCAACTTTAATTACTAGAAATCAAAGCGCTCGCAATATCTGCTTGATTCATAGATATTTTATTGATACATTTCTTAATAGTTTGTACGTGCAGTACTAGCTGTAGTTATAAAATTTTCTAATAATTTCGTGCAGCCTTTGCCTAAATCTTTTAAAAGCGAGTATCAGATCTATCACAATTATTCTGATCCTCAAGGTTTGGCTGTGTGGAAAACAACATCAAAAACACGCGGTTGTTCACGATCAGCAACCCCGTGGTGGGCACGAAGCATCCTGGCATCGTGTGTAAGTGGAGTGACAAGCAATATGCATTGGAGCGACGCCAGTCACTGGACGGTGTACTCAGCAACCTGGCCGTCAGCAGTGACGGCCGCTACCTTGCAACAGGCACCATGGACGGCGACCTCATCATTATGATAGCCTTCAGCCTGCAGGTGAACCATGACGAACAATTCTTCCAAATTCTTGCATGTCGTGCTTACTTGTAATGGTCGCGATATCTTGATGTGCCTTGCAGCTATGAAAATGTGTTCAGATATCTATTTTGATTGTCCACATATGCAAGAGTTCACGAAACACAAACATTTCTAAATTATTGGTATTGGTGTAAAAGATACATCGTTGATTTCATTTTCCAGAGCTCTTGTCAAAATTAGTATTCAATTTACCTGCATGAGGTTCGTTTACCGCAGGTGCTTCAGCGGCTGCCTGACGCCCACTCAATGTTCGTGACCGGTCTTGAATGGCTGCCCGATGGCAGTCGCACCTCATGCATCGTCAGGGGTTTCTCTGACGCCTCGGTGCTCTCTGTGTCGTGCGACAACGCCATGAAGATCGCGCATGTTCCCTCCGTCACTATGGCCCCCGTGTGGCTGGTGGCTATACTCTCTGCCGTCGTGTTGTGTGCTACCTTTGTTATCGCTTCTTACCTCGGACTCTGAAGCTTCCATTTATTGTTTTTGTTGCTATTTATGATAGGTTTTTGAGAAGGATGTTATTCTACGTTTTGGTCTATGGTTGTACTTCCTTGAACTCAGATTTCTCAGTTGGTCCAGGCATTTGATTTTTTCACTACCTGTTAGGCTAAAAAAGTAAAATTTATTCCACTTATCTGTTGCTGCTGAAAACGGGGAAGCTTGTAATGCCTGATGACGCTCAAGTGCGGAGCTCATTTCCACTCTAGAAGGCAATCATTGGCACAATATTTTATCAGAGCGTTCGTTTAAAGAGCACCAAAGTGGGCATTTTCGTTGATTATGATTAACTGTGTCGACAACGTACGGAAATTCTGAATTAATATACCGCGAAAAAATGCTCCTGTGCCCGTAGTTTTTTTTTAATATTGAGCTTTTCTTCCAGTCATCGGAGTAGTTAGTTAGTTAGTTTAGTGGCCAAATGTTTACTAGCACTTCAGCTATTTAGCTATCTCGCACCAAAAGTCAAGATGAACATCACCATAGAGGTGGAAGGTCTCAGTTATTCATCACCAACAAGGGGCGGAAGGTCTCAATTGTCCAGCCCGCTGAAGCTGGCTCGAAGGAAGCAGCGTTAGCATCTCAAAGAGACGAAGTGACAAGTAGGGACAGGTGAAAAGCAACAGAAACGAAGACACTCGAACAAGAGGTCGCTTACACGGGACGTGCCGCCCGCACGAGAGAGATAGAGAAGGGAAATGTAAGGAATCCTGCCTACATAATAACTTAATGTAAGGAATCCTACCTACGTAATAACTTAACCCCACAACTGAGACCTACAGTCAGACACCGCGAGCTCAGCGGTGGGGCGCTCAGGAACAATCCCCCTAGGAGCGCGAAATTCCATAGGACTTCTGACGAGCACAGACACCCGTCAGAAGTCCCCCCTGAGGGTCAGTCATCGGAGTAATCATTTTTCTTCAATATAGAATAAAGCCCAAATAATGTCTACCTCTAATGGATCTAACTATTTGTTTCGCTTGTTTATGTAAAAAATTTCGATTGAAACCGCTGGCGTACCGTTTTTCTATAATATGTTCTTCCATAAAATTGTTATTTTTCGTTATCTCCTGTGCTCTAAATCTCTATCCTTGTCCTAGTCGAGCGAAGAATATCTATGTTTTGATTGTCCTAGTGCTTTTTTCATATGGTCCAAAAGTCGCTTGTTCACTTAATGCCCCGCCATTACACAAGTAAGATCAGCGGTATGATAGCGGCTAGCAATATGTATTTTTTTAAGATTTTTTAGATCATAATACTCGATGGAAACTCGAGTATTTCAAAGCTGTGAGAAAATTTGCAGCAGATGTTTTGGATATTGAATATTCTACTGGATGAAGTTATTGAAGTCAACAACTACAAAGCTTCTCAACCGTCATTGACTGGTAATTCTCACCAATAATATTTTAAATATTGTACTTAAAGCTTCAATGTTGCAGTTTGTTCGCGATTTTCTTTTTGCTATTTCATCGATTTAAACAAGAGGAATATTTTCTTTCTGATCAACTAAAATGACCATTAATGTACCTGAATTTTAAAAATTTAATGCATGTCCGCTAAGGCGTGAATTTATATATTGCGTCAGCAATTATTCTCCGTCTGACTTCAGAATTGATTGATTTCTGAGCATTTTTGTATAGGTAACTGTTCTTGTCAGCAGCATATCTCTAATAACTTGCCTTATCTGCATAGAAACTGAGAATATTTTCATAAAAATTGATTACTTCGGATTACGTTATATCTACAACGCCCATACTAGTTCAGCCTTGGAAAACGCCCCTCCTCCTTCCTCCGTTCATATCAAAGAAGCACAGGGAAACGTTTTCGATGGTAAGAGGCGTAGAGAAAAATGAAAGGTGTGATGTCTCGCATTGTGTTACAAACTTACAATATCTTCCTGTTCTTAGCACATTCCATGGCTTCTATCATATTTGCACGGGAAAACTTTCCCTGTTGCATCTTGATTATTTATGGAAATTAGGCGCAGTAGTATTTCGGTTGCCTATATTATTTTTTATTAACTATTTATGTTATTCATTTTATTTTTGTTCATAGATTATAAGTAAATTCGCTTTTTCTGAAAATTTTTCATTTCTCAATAAATTTTTGAGAAAATATTATGTATAACAGATCCGCGCTATTTCGCAATTTAAAGTGCGAATTGATTCAAATTATTGTTGAATCACCATGGCCATGTCTGTCCGCTACGGCCGATTTTTAGGGACTATAGATTTGAAATATTTTAGTCCTTCACGATTCTGAACAATTATCTTTCATATTAGGTTTTATCGTGCTTCGTGAACTTCATACAGGAAACGCTTCTGTGTTGGACAATCCCCATGCCCTTCATCTTGAGAGGTTACTAGGACAATTTTATTTACTGTATTCTAACCTTAGACACTTGCCCTTGGTTGGGTAGAAATTTGTTCCATGGCTTAGAACGAATTTCTGGGAACAATTTTTATAGCAGGTTTTCCACGCACAAAATTGTCAATAACAGATAAAACGAAGCCATTTATTAACAGTACACTCCTGCTTGCGTTGTCAGATTTTGTTTCATTTTATTTTTTATATTACTATATTGTTCCTGTTCGTTTTTAATTAGTTCGCTTGACGCCAATTTTTCGCTCGTGTTTTTGCACTTAATTTCTCATAACGATCCGATTTTCGGAATTTTATCATGTAACAATGAAGATATTTATTCACAATAAGATACTCATGCGAGTGTTGTAAGAATTAATAGCGCGCAAAACGCTTAATTAGCTGGGCATGCAAAGGCCCCGGCCCACCGAAAAGGAGCAGAAACTTTGCGATTAGCGCACTACGTGAAAACAGAGCAAACAAAAAAATATTCTAACAACGTTCGCAGAAGTGCCTTGTGAATAATGAAATTTGTTGTTAAGTATATCAGAATCGGTTTATATTTCAAAACCTTATCCTAGGAAAACGTGCTAAAATTATCATTTCAAACGTAAAATGAAATTGAAGTGAACAGAAAAATTCTGCCAACGCTCGGAATGTGCTGTGAATAACAAGTTTCATTGTAAATAAGATCGTTTTTAAAACTGGTGCGTGGAAAACTTGCTAAACTTGGTGTTTAGCGTTCCAAGGAAAAACGAAGAGCACAAAAGATTCTGACATCGTACGCACGAGTGAAGTGTGAATAAATAGCTTCTTTTTTAATTGGGTCTTGAATGGTTTCGAGTAGGCAAAATTATGCACCAGGTAGATTTTGCGTTTGAGTCCGCAGGCGCGTCCGGAGAAGTGTCGATTCGGTAAATTATGCCTGGAAAACCTGCTATGGATATCCGATCAAAGTTTCAAAGCTGCTTTTTCTACATGTTTTTAACATACAATTTTATATTCTCATCTGTGATTTTTGTTTACTGCGATGATGTGAATGTGACGGATTTTTTATTTATGGAATATTGTATAACAGCCTTTATAAACCGCTGCACTGTTGTACATAAGTATAATTATTTCTATATTGAATTAAAGTTGTTCTTTGTTTCAAGTTGATTTTACCATTTGACTAAGTCATCCATTTGAATACTGATACCAGTAAAGGTTAAATTGATTAACTTTTTCTTTGTCTACGTGTCTCGCGAGCACCAAGAGTGTTAAACAACATCATTCTGTCTTGCATTTTCTAGAAGACATTTAACACTTTCAAACGACATCAATCGGGCAGTAATGTGACATGTTACCCTTGAGAACGAAACATACGTATTTTATGCACGTACCAGATACGAGATATTTTAATGTTATTTCCAATTATGTACTAAAAATAGACCTTGCTCACATTTAAACAAACAATAATTTTTTGAAATCAGGGCCTACCCAGTATCTTTTCATTTCTGGACCTGGTTATTAACATTTTCACCAAGAAGCTTACATTCTTCCCAATATTGTAATCAAAGAACGATTATAATATTGATCAAATCAATAAAAAACATAATCCTAGGTATTTAATCGGCTTCGCGAACTCACAAATTTAAACGAATTCTGATCATTGATTAAATGATTTTTATTATTACTGTGCTAAGTAGCCTTTTTTTAAGAAAAAGTCTTTAGATGAAACTTACTCATTTTTGTTGATTAATATAGGGTCAAAATTTCTCCTCAGTTCAGTAGCCCTAGGTTTGTAAAAAAAAACGTCTGGCAGGAGATGGTTTAAAAGCCACTGACACTTCGCCTCGTCGTTGCTCGGTAACTATTTGTTTATAGCGTTAAAGGTTTTCAGCTTTCATTTTCCCTGCTTCATCACTAATTTTGTCCATCAGTATGGCTATAAACAACATTCGAGAAAAACTTGATGATGATCAACTGGACTTGAGTATGATGAATTTAAAAGAAGTTCCATTGAAAGACATCGTAAGTCTGCCGGTCGAAGTCGAACGATCTTTAAATTATCGTAATAGTGTTTACAAAATAGGTCTAGTATATAGAAGTTGAGCCTAATAATGAATTTTTAATATTTAATAACGTTTTTCTACGAAAGTCACAATTTGTATTCAAATGTGTAATAACATTAATACCTATCCTTTTTTTGTGCATCACATGGCAGAAGTTTGATCAGTTAGCTATCTTTTAGTTTTACTTTTTCAGGCACAGTAGTAAATAAAGTTTCGTAATAGTAGGTAGTTTGAATTTCTAGCAGAAATACTAATTCAAGTACCTACTGTAAGTGTTTCCAGTCTGAGAAAAAAAGATCAATTTATGCCACTTCACATGTAAAATCACTAAAATGTAGGCAGCCAGTTTTTCAAATTTACAAATCACATCCTTAGCTTAGTGGCACTGGCAAATAGGTATGAGACTTTTTTTTAAGAGTAGACCAGTGAACTGACAACTGAGTGAACAGTGAAGTATTCTTGAAACCAGCAGTCCAGCACTATCTGCTATCATAGTAGAAATTAAATGACACTTTGAAGTAGAAAATGGAATTTAAAACTAACTGCTTTCTAAAATTTTCATTCACCACTAAACACATTTTTGCGTATCAACACATTTCTGCGTATCAACACATTTCTCTGCATATTAACAAATTTCTGCGTATCAACACATTTCTATGCTTATCAACACATTTCTCTGCATATCAACACACTTCTCTGCAGTGAGTGCAGTCTGCGTATCAACACTATGACATCAAAATTTTGAGGTGGTATTGTTTTAGGAATACATTTGATGATTTGGATACTAGCACAAGTTATTGTGAGATCATGAGATGTGATGGTGACCTTAATATATAATTTATAACTTTGACTGTTAAATGTGTTACCATAACTTTGTTATTATGGATTTGACTTCTCAATTAAAAAATTGCTCCCACCAATTGTTCCAAAAAGTTTTTTCACCCATTGATCCCAGTTATTTAATAGATATTATGTAATCTTAACATTTTAACAACCTAGCTTACCTACATTACATACTCAATCAGGTATGTCAGGCAGATTTTTTCACATTTTGAAAGAATGATCAGTTCATGGAAGGTTTAAAAAAATTGATAAAAATACACAGCTCCACCTAATTTTTACTATTATTTATTGATTTTATTCCAGTGCCTTACATACACATTTTTGGCTGATTTACCTGAAGTGTTTGCCAAGTATATATTTTATTGATTGCAGGTTGCTAAGTAGCTAGTAAATAATGAATTCTTAAAAGTGAACTCAAAATTTGATTGATATAAATCACAAAATAAGGAGAAAATTTCTATTACCATGATGCTAAATTTAAAAAAGAATAAAAATCTACTTTCAGAAATTATTTTGACTTGGTTTTGTGAGAATTTTCAGTTCATGATCATGGGAGATATTCTGTCATTACCATATTCTATTTTTTTTAACTGTTCTAGATGTGTCATGAATAAACTGTATTTTACAGGCAAGCGTCCCTCGTGCTACAACCTTGGATCTTTCTAACAACCTACTCAGGAATCTCCCATCAAACTTTGGATCTCAACTGACTCATCTGGTCAAGCTTGATCTTTCCTCCAATAAGTTAACTTCTTTACCATCAACTTTCCATCTCTTGGTTAATCTGAAGCATCTAGACCTCTACAACAATCAGGTCAGAACCAACTTTATTCAAAATTTGTATGTGTGGGGATGAGCTTCTATCAAAGTCAATGATTGACAGTTATTAAGAATTTTATTCTCAATAATAGTGTGCGTTTTTCCAAGATGGAAGGGCATTAATTTTTTTATAACAATAAATACTTTCCAGTTTGATCCTGTGTTGCCACTAGTTCTTAAATGAGTCACTGTGCATCCTAACTTGTGAATGTTCTAGTCTTGAATTATTAATTCATTATTCATTCACATTCATTAAAATGTGATTTTGAATTTCAATGTCAAATATTTTCTTGCAGCTGAAAGACCTTCCTCCATCTCTGCATCACCTGAAGCATCTCCGGTTTTTGGATATTAAAAATAATCCTCTGAATCCTGAGCTGCAGAAAATAATTGGCCAGTGTCTAACTCAGAAGGAGTGTGAGAGTGCTGCTAAAAAACTTATTGCTCATTTTACCAGAGAGAAAAATCTTGCTCTCAGTCAAGAGATGGCCAACAAAGCTAAGGGTATGTTTTACTTCTATACATTTTAATTATTAACTCAAATAATGCACTTGATGCAATACCCTGGTTGCTTTAATTAGTAATTGTTATCAACTCGTGCTTGCAATTCTGAGACACTTGCCTATTTCTCTTGAATGAGACAGTTTTTTGTCTCTTATGCTTGCTGATGTTTCATCATGGATTATTCAAGTGAAATGTTTGCTTTCCTTTTTTTACATTAATTTTTTTGAATAATTAATGTCTAATATGGTTGTTCTGAGTGCAATAATCACTAATGACATAATTCATGTCGATAAACTTGAAAAGTATACATACATCAGGGAATTTGTTATCACTGCAGAGGCTCATGAACAACAGCAACAACAGCAGCAGCAAAAGGTGGAATCTGATGCGCTGCGTCAGAGAACTGAGAAGAAAACTGTGAAGAAAGACAAGCAGCCTGAAAAGAAACAAACAAAGACTCAAGTTGAAACTAACTCTTCCACAAGGAATACTGGCAGCAGTGGAGGCTCCTTTACTTCGAAATCATCCAACAACAAGAATAGAAGACAGGCTGCTGGTAAAAATTGTCTCAGATTATCTATCGCATGGATTTAATTATTTATCCTTTTTTATAGGATTTTCTGGCTGTTGAAGTTGAAGCTAAGCTCATCTCTCAGTTCATGTAAGAGTGTCATACTCCAGTCACGATAATATTTATTGTAGATATTTTGTATAGTAATTATTTATATCATGTGAAAAACTAAACTCAGTAATTTTCAAATTGTTAGATATGCATATTAGAAATTATAAATTATGTGTTATTTGCTTGTTCAAATGCTTATGGTCTGTTTTTTGCAGGTGAGAGGAGCAGTGGCAGCAGCTGGTGTTCATTCATGGGTCTAATAAACCTGATGCTGATGGCCTGCATTGCCACAGCTGCAGGCTGGTGCCTACACCTCCACCTGGAAGGGGACTACAGCCAGGCAGGTTGGCAGGCTGCTGTTCCCCGCTTCCAAAAGAGTTTCCAAAAACTCCAGAATTTGACCGCCGAAGCGCTCCAGCCTGAAAACTTGAAGAAAACTGGACAAGTCATGTACAAGAGTGCCAGCGTCTCCCTTGGCTACGCTGGTGACGCAGTGCAGAAGACAGCTTACGCAGCTCAAGATTACCTCGAGGTCTACACTGGAGATCTAACGCCATACACTTCGCAAGTGTCGCGCGTGAGCAGACAAGCATATGAGTGGACAACAGTTCAATGCGGTGCTGTGTACGAGTGGCTGCTGAAGCAGGACTGGCAAGGCATGTGGGACGCCACTGTCACTTTCTGCTACGCCATTTTGAATAAACTCCAGGTATGTGTGAATGCTAGTACACACTAGGCTAATGTGATCAAACCCAGATTTATGATATCTTTATTCATGTGATCAGTTTAATTGTATTTATGATTAAGATCATTAGATTGGTCCTACATGTTACAACTTGATAATTGTATCTACTTTACCATAGATTGACATTATCGATTGATTGATTTCGATATTCACAGATTGGTGGTTGAAATTCTAAGGTAAGTATGAACCCGTTCATTCAACTTATTTCCCGCGTGCTCATCACCTGTGTTTCTTTTATGGTAATCTTAATTATTTAAATTTTTTTATTTCTGAAGTTTAACTCGAACAAAAAAGCATGTATATAAGACGACCTTTTAAGCGCGGTCCAGTTAACAACATGACGTAATTGCAGGAGTGGTGGACGGAGCTGCTGAAGAATCCCACGGTGAGGTCAGCTTGGAACGCGCTATGCGAGTTCACAGTCTCAGCCATTGCCTACATACGGCAGTTGATGCACTCGCTCATAGGCTACCTTTACAACGTCGGCCCCGTTTGGGCAAAGATTATACGAGACAATACAATGAGTGCCGTAACTTCCGTCAAGGACAGTGTGCAGTCGATGCTCAAGTAGCCTTAACCTCATCTATTATCAATATATGCCTTTTGTCTGTACATTTTAGCTTCGTTTGGCAGTGTTCGAGTGATTAACTTCTATTTTAAATCGTACGTTCTGGAGAAATGAATATCTCTACATTCAATAGTAGAGCTTATAACTCTTGAGAACTGCGCGTGGTTCTTGTTGCGTTTATATTCTGACTTTCCCTTGAGTTGGTTTAGCTTAATCATCCAAAACGAATATGAATGCTACGCTAAAATTGTGGCGCTATTTGTATGCTTTTTTTGATTGAACAATTTATCTTTGCTATCAATAGGCTTTACATTAAAACGCATATCGCGTTCTTGAACTTGAATGTTGGACGCGCGGTACTGTTTGCTAGCTTGTGTTTCTAAGCAAATTTGTTCGTGGTTATTGCATCAGAAAACGCTATGATGTAGCTAACCCATTTGATAGTACGTTCATGTATTTTTAACTGCCCTTGCGCGAGTAAGTTCAGACACTTTCTGGCGCTAAAATGTTAAATGTTTTTCATACTTCATTGGCTGTCAGGCTTTTTGTATGACAGAGCTTGGAGACTCGAGTTGAAGATAACTTTTTCTAGGATTAGATGTAATATTATATATTTAGTTGACTGCTCGCAGAATAATTTATCGTAATTACTTTTCTTACCCTATTGTTAGATTTTTTTTCCTAGACCCATACCCTTTCCAAGTCACAACAACTTGAATATCATCTCTCATTTACACTAAGATTTATCCTAACCATTGTGTCCATCTATTGATTATCCTACCTAAATGATTCATACATATTCAGCTGACTAATCATTAATCTTTATTGCCTTGATCCTTCACAAGTCTTTTCGTCCCCTCCACACATGAAAGTCCCTTTTGTATTCACGTGCTGGCAGTGTTGGTCACCAGCACCTTCAATGGCTGGTAATTAACCGAGGGCCGGCAGTGTGGTGTACGGTGCACACTAAGGGCATCATGACTACACTTTCCTCAGAGTCTGGGCATATATGTGGCTCCTGTTTTTTTCTAATTTTTCATTATCAATTTTATTTTACGGAATTTCTGTTGTTTAAAAATCTCTGCCTTCAAATGTTTTTTAACCATCTAAATTTTCCACTAATTTGCTCGCGATGGTCTTTCGTTATTTTATGGTCTCATTTGTAGAATCTACAATTCTATGCGTTGTTCGCTGAACCATTGGTCAAGATTTTATTGAAAATTGAAAGAATCTATTAGAATTATATTGGAATTGATTTTTGACTGAATATTTCTTTAGCTTTTCTACTTTGTTTAGCTTGCCCTGCATATATCACATTTTTTATTTTTCTTTATTTCTTATTACGAAGCAGCAACCTAATGTTGACTTTCATTAATAAATTTTGTTAAATTTACATTTCTGTAAACGTTATTATCCTCAAAAAGGCGAAAAAAGTTATCAGGAATGTTCAGTTCAGGCGGTGATTGCCGACGTTTACACTCCGCGAGGCTGGGATTTTCCCTGCAAGTTGACGCGCTAATACACGCTAGCAATTTCCAATCATTGATATTTTACATGTATGCCGTGTTGTATGAACCTCCAATATGTATCGTTATTATTAGCAAAACGACATCCGTCTGATTTATTTTCTTTATTATCGTATTTTTCGCGAACTAATAGATGAAATTTTTATTTTTTTTTCTGAATTTAGTTATCAGTGACCTAACTTCAGCCTTACCCACCAAAATTTGGGAGTAATATCTTCAATATCTCGTTTTATATCATTATAAGTTGTAAAATTTCCTAATAGAATGTGTTTGATACAAATGCAGTTAGTATTAATCATTTTGATAATATAAATATACATAACACTCTAGCATACTTTCTGTGAATTTCGTCAGAAGTACCTCTCGCGTTTGACATCCAGCTAGCTTATAGCGGCAGCTATGTATTTAGCATGGCAAAACCACGAACTATAGCTATTAAATTTGTGATTGGCCACGGTATCGCTTTTTGTGTTATGAGTAGATTGCCGCTAAAACGCGAGATATCCGTGCGAAAAATACAACGGATCTCATTAGCGTGTGCATTTAATTCATAGTCTCTATGGTAGGTTATACAAAACGAACATTCAGCTGCCTAAAGCTCTAGATGGCGGAAGCAGTGAGAAGTAAGATGCTTACGACCATGGTTGAACTAGTAGAAGTATATAGTTCAACCATGCTTACGACGTCGCTGACGTCTTGGACAAATTGTTTGTCCGAGACTTCAACCGCTGCTAGAACCCAGTTCTTGCAAATTAGTATTTTTCGGGTGGGAATCATAAGGAAAATATAATTCATCCGTATTAGGTGATGGGCGATATTTATATACCTCTCGGACATTTTACGGCTGTCAATTCCCTCCTAAGTTAACAAACACCTTCCACTATTTTCAATTATATGGACACAAATGATAAAATGTGAAGGAATAACGTTGTTATTACCTTTATTTCATAATATGGGCTGCATTGCAACGGTATCACAATTATTTGCCTCTTGGCAAATTTCAACCTCAATATAGTATATGATTTTTACTTTGAATTCCCCACTACGTTCAACGATCAACTTCTATATAGTAACATTTTATCCCCGTAGAGATGCATTTGCAAATTCAAGACTTGAGGAACGGAAGTTGTATTTCATGAATCAATAGCGCTAATACGATAGTTGTAATTTCAATCCATGCTTGCATGATTGCGACTCATTCCACCGTTCGAAGCTCGCGCGATGTTGCGGTGTAGCTGTGAAAGCTGCCAGGCAGCGTGCGCCCATTCGGCCTTTAGTAGTATCCTTCTGGATGTTGTCGATAGAGGTAGTGCTCGCTTGGCTTAGTTGCATTTCATGGCGTTTGTTTTGAACCTGAATTCGGCTCCAAGTCCGATGCGAGAAGATATATTTGCATCTAGAAGTAATGTACTCTTTATTGTCTGTCTCATATAATTACAAAGAAGATTGAGGCTGCTGTAAGACGAAAATTTGTTGAACTTTTCCAAAGTGAGATGCCCTCAGTTCTGGCACGTCGCTTGGCAGCTCAGCGTGAGGGAAGAAGTTCTCGCCAGGTGAGGATACAAGCAGATGTTTCATTCATAAAATTCTCCTTGTTTACAAGTACTATAGTTACGAGAGGCTGGGTTATTTATTTTTTATGTTTTAAATCTGGTAGAAAAATTAGGTCGACTCGGTACTCATTTTATGAGTACCGAACTTGTAATTTTTATGGCTAGCCATCGCCGACGCCAAAGGGCCAGGGCTATTCGCAATTAATTTTCTACCTTGTGCGAAGGAGATGTACAACGGTGTGCATTCTAAGTTCTACAACATAGCTTGCTTAAAAGTTTACGACCTTGCCTACTAGGTGTATAGTTATTTGCCTTTTTTCGACTTAGAAATCGTTGTAAATTTTTGCCCATGTACAATACGCCTATGGTGACCAAGCATCATTAAATTTAACAGTAAAATGGTCGGAGGTTTTGGCAGTGTGATTCATTTTTGTAATTTTTTAGTTCAATTTAATTTAGTTTTGTAATTCTTTGAAAAATGTTTAATTTTGAGTTAACGTGCTTATTAAGGTGACTGTCATGCACCAATGAAATTATACATATATGATGATTAGACATTCAGGAACGGTCTAATATGAATTTTCTTTCAACAATATTCTGAAACTGTTCGTTCCTCATAGCCCTAATTCTCATTCGCGCTTCTGCGAGTTTTGTCCACTTTGGAAATATTTTCTTCGTCATGGTCTCATTTTGTTAAATCTTTTGAGTAAATCGTTGATAAGTGTTTGTGAAGACTGTTATTGTTACAATGCAGCTTTCGTCATGCGCCGCTGTCGAATTTAATGCCACTCCACTGGGTTTTAACCAAGCTGTTGTGCCCAGCCGCTCGCCTGCTCAAGCGGCGGCTAAAAAGGAACCCAGTCGATCTATCCTTTCACCACCACTTGACCTGCTGTAGGTTAGGTGTTGTCTCTTTCGACCTTCGTGCTAGACTGTTGAAATTCCTGCGTCTTCATATGTAAGACATGGCACAGGCGACAAATTTATTTAGTTTAAAGCTGTCGTATGGTTAACCCTATAGCGTCTAGCTATAAATAAATGTCGCCTCTCATAAAATTTTAGATTCAAACTTAATATAAATTTGGCGGACCTACAACGTTGCCAGACACGTTCAGAACATGCCTTAGATTGGCTTGGCAGCAACAAAAAATGAATTGTGTTTCACATTAAATTTCATGCCGTGCTTTAGTAAGATGTTTGTGTGAAAAACATCCCATATAGTGCACTCAAAACCATGTTTTTTCGGCACTATAGTTGACAAACCTGTTGATATTTCGCTATGAAAAATTACATGCTTATTTGGTAGTGTTTTAGGAGGTAATTTGGTTGTTTATCAAAGTATATTGGTACTTTCAATTATTATGTATAGTATATTTCAACATATATGTACAGTTGAGCTCACGAACCCTATATGTGAATCGCGTCATATCTGTCCAGTCGGTCGTACGACACTGTAATACCGCTGGAGGACAGAACTTTTTTTCTGATAGTTGGCTATTCCTCGTAGTTACATGTACCTCTTCTGACATATCATAGCCTCACAATGTTAATAAGGTCATTGGTTCACTGCATCATTTCATTTGCATATTGAATTAAATTATATTCAATGCATATTGAACTAAACTAAATTATGTGAATCTAACTAGGCTTTTGAAACTAGTCAATCTTATATTATTGATTGTTATGTCAGCGGGTGAGTGTTCGATGTATGCAAGTCAAAAGCGCATGCACATGGCAAGTCGTGGGCATGATTCATGCGGTGCAGGTGGTGCCCAACAGTCCTACACTGCAGGGAAGGTCGTGCCCAACAGTCCTACACTGCAGGGANTAAGAGACAGGTCCTACACTGCAGGGAAGGTCATGCCCAACAGTCCTACACTGCAGGGAAGGTCGTGCCAACAGTCCTACACTGCAGGGAAGGTCGTGCGTATACAGGGGGAGTACACGGGGGGAGGAAGGTCGTGCGTAATATGTATACTCGGGCGCGCACGTAGCTCTACAGTCTACACTCTACACGATATGCAGGGGTACACGCAGTCCTTATGCTGTATGCCGAGCGTGCATAGCAGTCCTACACTGACTGCCAGGTCACGCATGCAGTCCTACACGACATGCAGGCGCACGATGTCCTACACTGGCTGGCGTGGCTCGCATGTAGTTAGTTAGTTTAGTTGCCACATGTTCACTAGCGCTTCACCTATTTTGCTATCTCGCACCGAAAGTCAAGATGAGCATCACCAACGAGGTGGAAGGAAAAATCATTCATCACCCACAAGGAGCGGAAGATCTCAATTGTCCAGCCCGATGAAGCTGGTTGGAAAGAAGCAGCGTTAGTATCTCAAAGAGACGAAGTGACATGGAGGGACAGGTGAAAAGCAACAGAAACGAAGACACTCTAACAAGAGGTCGCTTACACGGTACGTCGGCCGCCCGCACGAGAGAGACAGAGAAGGGAAATGATGTTTTTGATCAAGATCAAGCTCAGCGGTGAGGCGCTCAGGAACAATGTCACCCTGGAGCGCGAAATCCCACAGGAAGGGAGCGCATATAGTCGTACACTGGCGGCAGAGACGCGCCGCAATCTTACTGCATGTCGGGGTGCATACTGAGTCCTACACTCTACTACCTCGAAAAAAACTGCCTGATCATCAGCTAACTACAATCAGTGAATTCAAATAGAAACCATGATGCGTTGTGTTCGAACAAGGAAATTGCAAAAACACGTGGTAGTTTTCATTCAGAAAATGTCCATTCGGAATATATGAAAAAGAAAAATGAGGAACATGCAAAAAAGTACTCTTCCTGAAGCAACTATTTGACAAGAAGAGTGTACGGTACCTCTCCATGATGTGATGTTGATTATTGACTCGTACAAATTTTATGGAATGAGCTCGAATAATGTTTCAGGTGAACGATTTTTTATTAGAGCACTTGAGCATAGTATTTTCATTTAATTGTTAATTATACTACATGCTACTAGCTTTTTTTATAAGAGATATAATGTATTTTGTTCGTATATTAAGCTCATTGGTCCAACTGTGATGATGTGTCCCTTTTAGTTTCAGTCAGCACTACGACCACGCAGACATATATGTCGTCTTCCAAATTTTTACAATCAATACATTGCAACAATGGAGAATAATTCTTCATTGTAATCAGAAATATGCCCCACTAAAATTGCATACAATTTTTTTTGTACACGCGAGAAATTAATCAATTTCTCCACCCTTGAGCGCCAATTAATTAATTTGTGCTCAAGGGTAACGTGGGTTGTTAGTTTAGCCTAAAATTTGTTGAATGATCTTTTAGAAACCTTAAGAGTGGGGAAAATGTACGATTATTTTAAATCGTCTTCCTACCTGGATAGTAAGCTGGAGTGCTAAAGGCTAAGTTTCAAGCACATGACATTTGCATTTGTAACCCTTGGCCCCCGAACTAAGTAACGCAAGCAAGCTTTGACCTAAGCAGCACAATGCGATCCTTCCCTTCCTTTCCTTTGTTCGTCGATGCGCGTTCCTAGCTCTCAGAATCATCCACCCTAACTTGAAAAACGTAGATTGTGCAAGCAAAAAAAATCGAATTTCGCTCTAAAATAGACAAGTATTTCAATCTCTTTGTCTGAAAATAGTTTTCTCAAAATGAACGCTAACGAGACGAGAAATTTACCAAGAAAAATTAGGAGCAGAACTGTCCCGGAATAAAGTTAGAAATCGGGACAATAATTTGTTCTCATAATTTTAGTATTTAATCCTTGGTATTCCAAAACTTTATGACCCCGTTATAAAACGAGACATATCCTGCTGCAACACCTACCAAACCGAGCATGTCGAACGTGCGGGATAAGGATTGATAAGTCAAACTCTTCAGTATTAATGGGCATTAAACTCTTCAGTATTAATGGCATTAAACTCTTCAGTATTAATGGCATTAAACTCTTCAGTATTAATGGGCAGTTGGGCAGATTTGATGATATTTGGCCAGCTGGCACAACTTGGGAAAAATTGTCGTTAGTTTAAATCGCCGAACTTTTTGAGACTTGATTGCCGCATAGCCAAATTTCAGCTGTTGGGAAATGGTTTGGTGATGTTCCCTGTGGAGAGTTGGCAAGTAAAAGTTTAAAGATAGCGCCTGGATCGAATTCATATTTTATTTATTTTTTAATTTTTCATTCGGTACTGTTTAAAGATACTTAGTTCAAGTATCAATCAGTTTTAAAGATGCCACGAAGCAAAGGTAACATCTCAACATTCATTTGCTGGAGAAACCCGTCATTAATTATTAAAATTTCACGCTTAAGCTTTACTTTCGTACTGTCTCGTTAAAGAGATGCATATTTCGATAAATAATTGCATCATTCTGTCTGTATTTTCCAGTATCTTCCTCTTGCATAAGAATATACTAATCATCTACAATAGGTCCTTCTCGTCCCCTATCCAATGAAAAATTTAGTGAGACGCAGATGCCTAATGGCAGCGACCCGCATTTCTGTGCTGACCGTTCCCTGGCTCGCCTAAAGAAACAGTTGGTTGCTGGTGCGGCCGTTGGTACAGTTGGTTGCTGGTGCGGTCGTTAGTACTGTTGGTTGCTGGTGCGGCCGTTGGTACAGTTGGTTGCTGGTGCGGCCGTTGGTACAGTTGGTTGCTGGTGCGGTCGTTGGTACAGTTGGTTACTGGTGCGGTGTTTGGTACAGTTGGTACGCGCCACTGCAATTGATGCGCGCAAGGCTGCCGTCTTACATCAGAAACACATCTTATCTCCCACAAGCAGCGTGGGCGCTTGAGTAATGATGTTTAATGGTACTGAAATGACATATCGTAGTATCGCTCATTGCGTACGTGGCAGCCGTCGTCTGTGGTTCGAGCGAGCTGTGTTGTCAAAACAGCTCAATATGACGACACTTAATCTGTAAACATGCGCCTACGCTACCTAGTCAAGGCCCTAAGTATACTAGCTAGGCTACTAGTCGAGTTTATTGCATTAATCTGTCTCTGTGCTGTCGC